AAGTTTACTAATCTTCTAATTGAAAATGCCATTCTTCCGAGAATCTACGTAAATAAAAAAGATGTATGTTATTATAATAAGAAGCCATTCATGTTCTATACAGTTGATATTGTGATAAAAAGAGTTATGTATCATAAAACTATTGTAATATGACCAAAATACTCTTTAAAAATAATAAGTCATTGTGTCAGTGTTATTATGTAACCTAATTGTCTACAACCTTTTCAATTTTTCGACCTTACTTTAACCTGAGGTAAACCAAACTTTTAATTTCGTATTTTACTCTTTTTTTTTTTAATAATGTAAAAAACAGGCTGACAAATAAAATAATGGGAATATTTTTGTCAAATCAAACACAAAACGTTTTTTTTTATATAATATTATAGAAATTTACAACTGTATTAAATGATGAACACAACAAGTAAATATGAACAAGTAACATGACATGTAGAACATGAAGATAAACTACCCATTGGTAGCACTCCAATTATATTTCTATATTAGAAGGTCCCGAGGCCATCTTCTTTTCAGGCGCCTCGGAGGGTTATCAGGAATAGAAGAGGAAGCAAAGTTGGAGACAAGAGGTTTCGGATGGTTCAGAAGTTAATAAAAGGACATTGCTATGTATTGTAAAGACCGCCGGTGGTATTCATTTAATTATTTTAAAGGTATAAATAAATAAATATCATAAGTGACCACATCTGGCGCTACCTAAGCGAGGGTAACGACCTACAAGCCCAACCTTTTGTAAGTGGTAATAAAAACCTTTAAGAACCACCGACCAAGACCGACAACTGAGTGTTTAAACAGGATCCCGAAAGACCTTTTCACACCTTCCACCAGAATACGTAAATCTGTACCTGCTGCTTTACCTTGGCCTGGGGAAGAGGGCATGGTCATCCCTTAGGCTAGGAATATTCAGCCAATCAGGAAAAAGACTACCAAAAAAGAGGGGGATGAAGAAAGGTGGGAAATAGAGAATTGGGACTAGTGACTTCCTTTTGGGACTCAGTGGAGGAGAGCTGGGACACAGGCTAGGACTTGATCAGGAGAGCCGGAGAGAGCAAGAGATGGACTGAGAGCTGGGGCTCAGGCTAGAAGACAGCCGGAGGGAGCAAGATGAAGACTTGAAGACCAGATGGACGGAGCTTCCAGAGAGTTAGCCAGAACAGCTAGAGATAACGACAACACCCCTCACCAGCTAGGTAATAACCCTCATTTAGTTATAGCGATGTAAACTTGTGTTGGTAACCATGAATCGTTAATTAATAGAATCAAGCATTCTCCTATAGTATGATTCTCAACTATTCATTATGTATATAGGTTTAGTTATTATTTTGTATATAGATGTTTTTGGTTTTATTTAAGCTTGTAAATATAATATAAGATTACTAAAATGCATTGAGGATCTTAAACTATCTATTATTTCCCCATCACAACCTACTTACTGGCCAACTTCTCTATCGAAATCTCCCGATCTTCTCGACTTCTTTGTTACACGTTCCATACCACTCCCACACTCCAACATTTCCTCTCTTTTCGATTTATCATCTGATCATAGCCCAATTTTACTAGAACTGTCAAAACACCCTTTCGCAAAATCTAAACCACCGACTTTAATTAATGGCTTCATAAACTGGGATGACTTTCAAAATTACTTGAACAACAAAATTATACTAAATACTTGCATCAATACAGCAGACGAACTTGACGACGCAGTCAACGACTTTACAGAATGCATACACAATGCGATCTGGCATTCGACTACACCAACGAGGTCACTAACCAAAACTGTTTCTTACCTGCCTCTGGGTATACGCAATCTCATAAAAGAAAAACGCAGAACTAGAGCTCTGTGGCAAAGAAGCAGATATCCATCACACAAAACAGCTCTTAACCCGAAAACTTCAACAAGAACTGTCAGCATTTAAAAATAACAGTTACAAGGACTACCTAAATTCAATGAACAATAGAAACGAATCAATATGGACAGCAACAAGACGTATACTTAAGACAAAAGATGTTCAATATCCTCTCCGACGGACGAACAATACCTGGGCCATAACAGGCGAAGAAAAAGCTAATGAATTCGCAAAACATCTTGCTCAGGTTTTTGGGACAAATAATATTCAGGACAACACGCACAATACTAAGATTGAAGACGATTTGACAACCCCACTACCCTTATCACCACCTCCGCCAGCATTTCACCCAAAAGACATTTACAAGGAACTCAACCGACTTTCAAACAAAAAAGCTCCTGGCTATGATCTTATCACTCCCTTCATCCTTCGCCACCTACCCCGAAAAGCCATTATCTTTCTTACTCACATCTATAATGCTATCTTACGCACAACTTACTTCCCTCTCCTTTGGAAACTTTCTACAATAAAAATGATACCTAAGCCTTCTAAACCTACCAGTAACCCTTCTTCTTATCGTCCGATTGCACTCTTACCCATACTGGGCAAAATATTTGAAAAATTATTTCTTCTTAGAATAAAGCCAATCCTAGAAAGTCGGGAAGTTATTCCGAATCATCAATTTGGCTTTCGTTCTTACCATTTCACTGTACAACAGTGTCATCGTATAGTAGATGCTATCTCAGTCGCCTTCGAAAAAAAAAAATTCTGCTCAGCGATATTTCTGGATATTGAGAAAGCGTTTGATAGCGTATGGCACAAAGGTTTACTGTGGAAAATAAAACCACACCTTCCTTCAACTTACTTTCTGATTTTTCAATCTTTCTTTCTTGACAGGTTCTTCTGTATTACTATTGATTCCTCTACTTCTCCCTTCTTTCCTCAAATTGCGGGCGTGCCACAAGGTAGTGTTTTAAGCCCTCTTCTATTTTCTGTCTACACATCTGATATCCCTGAGCACCCTAGCACCATTCTCTATAGCTTTGCTGACGATACGGCAATACTTTCTTCTCACAAAAATCCCACTATCGCTTCAATAGTCCTTCAAAATTACCTGCACGTCCTTGAAAAATGGTTTCACAAATGGGGAATTAACATCAATCCCAGCAAGTCAACTCATGTTAGTTTCTCCCTGAAAAAAATCTCGTGTCCTGCTGTGACAATAGACAATAAACCAGTTCCCTCAAAAACACATGTACGGTATCTCGGACTATACTTGGACAAAAAACTCACCTATAACATTCACACTAAATTAAAAAAACAAGAACTGACCAGACGATATAAACAACTGTCACATCTTTTAGACTACAGATCTCCACTCAACTTACTAAACAAGCGACTAATCTACACCACTATACTAAGACCTATTTGGACATAAGGAGCAGAACTTTGGGGTTCCGCAAAACACACACACATCAACAAAATTCAAACCACACAATCCAAAATACTCCGTAAAATTGTCAATGCTCCTTGGTTTATTTCAAATCACACCATACACAAAGACATGAACATACCAAAAGTAAAATCCTACATACACAACAAATACACAACATTTCACACTTCTACTCTCAATCATCCAAATCCACTCCTTCTATCTCTATCTTCCTCACTGTTACCTGGTGAGCCTCAAAGATGACTACAAAGGCAGTGGCCTAGAGATCTGTTGAAAAGTTAAGAAGATATCAGGAATCAAGAAGATATAATTAACGCCAACACATTTGCTTGATGCGTTCCAACGCAGTGGCAAATTTAAAATAACAAAATAAAAAAAAATAAAACAATATTTAATAGTGAGTAAACCCACGTAGTACTTTTACCATCTACCTTGCATGCCACCAGTTAGATATAAAACAAATAGTAAATTTAAAAAACATGATACCTTTAGAAAGGAGATCCAATAAAAATTATATGGTTCAATCTAGGATACTACAGTAGGGTGCCTGTGGTATCTTACCTTTAAATACCTAATTAATATATTTTTCTGTAGATCGGTTCCCTTCTGGAACCGATATGAATACAAATATAACTATTAAATACAAATAAATGCGGTTTCTGGAACCCCCTACTCGCCGTAGAAATGCGAAGCCAGGAACCTAGCAACATGTATCTGGATTGATCTATATTGGAAACATGTGGTACATTAAGGTCATTATGGATGATAGCACAAATATACAAAAACTAAAACGCATTAAACGTTATCAAGATTTATAATGGTAAATAGGCTACTAAAAATAAAAATAAAACATGAGAACAGTATTTATTTTAACCTTTTCATAATTAATTTTATTTAATAATCTTTTACGGATATAATCTTATCCTGCATTAATTATTTAAGGCACTAATGAAATCTTCAGTAGTTGTCTTCCGTTCTTATATTCCCATTTGATGGGAAAGTAATCCATACTGAAAATAAAATAATAAAAGCAAATTAAATAAGTTGCATATCTTAGTTTTTAAAAGAATGTTTCATGAAGCAATAATTAATTAATCTTCTAATTTAGGTGCCGAGTGACGCAGTATGATGAAGCGTCACTATCTTGTCTAAGTTCTGTAATAATAAGCAATAGTACAATTTCTTTTTTCTCTCAGATAATTTTTCACAAGGATGTTTGAAAAGTGGTGTTTTTGGCTGGGTTGGGACACAAGGACACCAGTTCGAATATGAAAATATTCACCTTTTTCAAACACAATTGTTAAATATATGTAGAGAGTCAAATGTGGAGAAAATTGGAAAATACATAACTTGTTCAATTCTTACTTTTTTTTACAAAAATCGATGATTTTTTATGTTTAGATATTCGAATATAAAAATAGTCTTACATTATATTAAATAAAACAATAGTCTTATATTGTATTAAATAAAACGCTGACCCGCAATACGATAAGTTTTCTAGAGAATTTTTCTATAGAAAAGATAATTAATTTAAAAAATATATTCATAAAGCCCATTTTAGTAAATTTTCAATAAGGCCAAAATTAATTTTTGTTTTAATTCTAATAATATACATCTACATATCTATTATGTCCTTATATACATATATAATGCAAACACACAAACATACACAGATGTATAAGTATTTAGATTTGTTCGGTACATACATTTTTAATTTGTTCGACAAAGCACATGGCTAGATTGAAAGCTCTATCACAGGAATCGTCACTATAGAATGCAGAATGGCCTAAAAAAAAAAGAAAAAAGAATTTTCTTTAATAATCTGAAACGTTGAAATGTATTCATTTATATTCAATAACATCCTATTAATTGAGTTATTTCTTAAACTTATGAATTCATCCATCCAATTAAGGAGTAAGAAAAATATATCTTATGAATATAAATCTTTAAAATGTATTTGTTTTTTTGTTTGCCTCTACCCACTAGCGCTATTAGCAATCCTCAACTCACTCATACTTTTCATATTTTATTGCAGAATCCAATTATTTTCAAGAAATCCACTAAGATGCATTTACAATATTTTAACTCTATAGTTTTCAAGTCATGAAAACTCCTTCACATTTTGCCAAATACTGCTAATGCCTCATTATTAAGCATTTATTAAAAAATAAATATGTTTAATAAATAAGTTTATATTTAATATACTAAGATAAAACAATTTAAATATATTATATTTAAATTTAGATCTTATAAAATTATAAAGATATTTTAATTGAAGAAATGTTTTTACATTGTAACCGTATCATTCGACAGAATATTATACTGAAAACAAATTACCACAAAATTCACTGTTTGGATATATTCTATGAGTTAATCCAAAAAAGATTGATCGGTCTGGTAACGGATTGATGAACATAGATATTACTCATCCTATGCTAATTTCCCTTTGATTGCTAATTTCGTAATTAATTCATGTGACATAGAAATAAGGCGACACATTTAATATTGTGTTTTAAAAATCAATAAAATATACAGATATATAACTCTCTTAATTTGTTCAGTTACCACCTATACATTTTTTAAATCATAGTTTATAGTCAATCAAAATTATTAATCATTTGTACAGTTTAATTTCTAAACAGCGCTCTATAATTATTAAATATTTACACTTTTGGTCGCAAGCCAGCCAAGCTCTGATTGTAAAGTCCCGTTGCGACTCATCGTTGAAGTACTTGTATACTGTGTTTTTTAGGTTTGCTCCGTTGAGGCTGCCATCTCTATTAATCTAAAGAAATAAAATTATGTTATATAATAATAAATGTAGATACATTCAATACACCTAATTAGAAAAATATACGTACATAACCCATTCCAACCAAACCGCATTTCATGAAGCACTGGAATAAAACAGGAAAAGTTTTAATTATTAAAATAAAAAAAGTTTGGTTTGTAAATAAATCTATAAATATATTTATGTACGTACACACACATGTATATATATATATATATATATATATATATATATATATATATATATATATATATATATATATATATATATATATATATATATATACACACGTATGTATAACTAATACCTTTCCGTTTCTCGATTCCTTTGCCCCACCTTCTAAAAGCAATTTCAGATAATCTGTAACAAATTAGAAATTATTCAAGACTTTAGAAGTGAAATCTTCTTTAGGCGCTTAGCATTTAACGCATTTAATTTAATTCGGCTCCAGCGGACCAAGTTTTGCATTTATATTAAAATATCTCAGAAACTGAAAATAGGCCCTGCATACCGAAAAAAATATAGACTGTTTTGAACATGTAGAGTATAATCTCTCTCTGATTGGATTATAAATTTAAATACTATGAAGAAATCAGAAAACAATTTGGCGCATTCAATTGAGAATTTTTTTTTAATTAGCCGATAAAATAAGAAATTAAGTGTTCTTTTCGATTATTTGCTGTTCTCGATTGATCAAATAATTTGTTTAGACAAATTGCTGACGCTCGTCACAGAAATTATATTAAAAAAAAAAATGTCTAAACTGCATGATTTTCTTATACTAATAGATGTTTCATTGTATCCGAATGTATAATTATTTATATTTCATTATATTAATCCCGCCTTGTTGATGTTCTTACTTTTATGGAGTGATCTTTAGCAAATACCGTCTTTTTTTTATCCTATATTAATTCATGGTCATACAAGCGTAACAAAGTTAATCTGCCATTATAATTATCAGGGGTGTCCAGAAGGGTGTTTCATGAAGGAAGTAATTTTGTCGAAATTTTGAGGGGAGTAAATTTCGACCGAGTTATGAATTTCGGACTAAGGGACAAGGGGAAAAACATGGAACATACCGCAGGTATATGATCTACGATTTTTCTAATTCTACCTTAGCTTGATCTGTTTTTAAGAAAAGTGATCAATAAAATATCTTGGGAGGAGGGAAGAGGGGTAGGTTCTTGCGCCATCGACCTTGGCGTGGATGTCCACCCCTGACAATAATAGCAGTAAAAAGTAAGTTTTCCTGAAAATTATTGTTATGTATTATATTACTATATATTTATGTACTGCGTTATATTTGTGTATTTATATTCTGCCCACTCTGTGCTGTGGTTTTTTGGCCAAACTTATTGAGTTTTCGAATTATTAATTAATTTAATTCCCAGTGACAGAATGTTATTCAATAAATAAATAAATAATCTAATAAATAAATAAATTTAACGCTATACATCTATTTTTGCTGGAATTGATTATATAACGGGTTTTGTAAGATTTGCGTTTCAACTGGTACCGTTTAAATTCATTTCATGAATGTTTGCTGACTATGGATGCCCATACTAATGTGATGGCTTTGTTAAGAATCAATTAATAGTTTATAAAAATAAAATAAAATAAACGTTAAGAAAATAAAACAAATGTTTCAAAGTTAAACATTTACTCATAAGTACGTAATATATTAACTACTTATATAATAAATACATTTAGTGTTGCAAAACTTATAAACTAAATCGAACACTTACTATCAGGTACGTTGTATTGCAGACTGCAGTCTTGCTGAACGTCCGATTTTTTTCTTAAAATCTCTTCCTTAGATGGTTTCTGAAATTGCGTTATCTACAAAGAAAGAAAGATGTATGAATCTGTGCAGTTTAGATATATATTTCTTTTTTTTTGTTTTATTAGTAGAAAAGTAGATTAATTATTGGAATTTTAAAAGTAAAATAGCCCATTTAGATATCCGTAGTGAAATTTTATTTAAAAATGGGTTTTGATTTTCTCTGTTCAATCTTGCCTTAAATATATTCAGGCATACAAAGGAAAACATTTATTTAAATCTTTGAATATTTATCCAGAGCATGTAACTCTGCAAATTAGTAAACACATGTGCATTATCACCAAATAGTTATGTGTCAAAAATACGTGGCCTTTGTCACGAATTTCCTTACCGATTTCGATAAAAAATGCAATGAATGTTTTTTTTTTTTTCAATTTTCGTTAAAAAATGTAGTCAAAATATGTGTGCGTGTATGTGTGTGAACAGCGAAGCTCAAAAACTAAAAGTCGTACGAAACTGTTATTCCATATTTAATGTTTTTATATACCTGGGATGTTATAGCAACTTTTTCGTCATAATTCGCAAAACAGTAGTAGTAATTAATATCACAGATTTAACATATTAATAGGATTTTTCCAAAGACGGTTGTAACGACTTCCATTGGTTTTTAATTTAAGATAGGCGTTTTGTTCATGCAGCCCGACAGGGATTGAATGCTGATTTTTTTTCTCAAAATTTCTTCCTCTTAAGTACGTTTATTATTTTAAATCATTAACCATTTCACATTTCAAAATGATATTTTTTTTAATTTTAAATATTGCATAATATTGCTGTTTTTGTTTTCATTTTCATTTTTAAATAATATACCGAAAATTCCACAGTTTATAAAAAATATTACTATATTTAGAATCATAATTTAATTTATTTAGATCAGAAAATTGTACTTCGTCTCAATATTTTCTCTCCACCATTACATATATACGAGGAAACAGTTTTGGATGAGTTACAAATGGAATTAATAATATATCACGAACAGTATAAAAAAAAAAATTAAAAAAATGATATACGAAACTTCCATCGGCTGCATAAATTTAGAAAAACGTCCGTTTCACTATCTATTACATTTAATGATTATAAAATTGAATTATTTATTTAATTATAATTAATAATTATATACCATGAAATATTAAAATTCCGATTGTCACTGATGAATGAGGCCGCTGTATTCAATTATGGCTAATTTGTTTGAGCACTGATGTTATTAAAATTTTCATTTTTTATATCACTGTAAGATATACACTTAAATATTAAATAATAGTATTATAATTAACATTTATGAAAAACACGTATATGTTTATAATATTATCGTGTGCGCGCTGGAATTTCTTCAGTACTCTATTAAGATACTCTTTTATGTAACTATCAAATTCTATCATAGTTTATACTACGAGTTTTAAAATAAATTATATTAAATTTAAAAAAAAAATAGAGATACTTTAAAAGAAGAAATTCTGAAAATTCTCCATTCAAGCTCTGTCGTGACAGGGTACTGCATCGATGGTGATAAAACCTAGTTTAAATTAAAAAAACACTCAATAATACATTGACCTAATGAGTCTATTTAAAATCGTTGCCACTTTTTTTGGATAAAATCTTAAAAGTGCATTAAATAAAGGTGCACATTTGGTTAGCCAATTTTAACGAAAAAGTTACCGTAACGTCCCGGCCATACAGAAACTTTAAATAAGCAATTTCCGTTTTGTGAGACTTCTCGTTTTTGTGCCAGACTGTTAACATACACCTATATACGATCACGTTACTTTTGGTTATTATATATTTCATATATAAGTAAGCAAAAGTAATAATTAACACTTCGTATTCTTCTTTCTTCTTAATTTGGTCCTCGCCTACCATCTGGTGCATTGAGAGGACAATAATTAACACGCTGAATATTGAAGTAAATCAGATTATATTTTCGGAAAATACATTAATTTATAATAATTTAATAATACATTAATTTATTTTACTATATTATTATTTATTTCATAGTAATGCAATCTGCCATGGCTATCAGTTTGGGATACTCGCTGTAGTGTCCATAAGTTGAACCTATACTTAGCCTGTCAATATTCATATGCCAGAATCCATTTAATACACGATGACATAGTTCTTTTCCTTAATCATTATTTTTTGTATGAACGTTGGATATATAGTTTGTAAATCTGGTTTCATTTAGAAAAAAAAAATCTATTTATTATAATTATTACTTACGGCTGCAGATGCCAGCAGAATAACATACAAGATTGAGATAACGAAAGCCATTTCGAAACTCGTTTCAATGACTATATTTTCAACCTTATATAGCATCAGCAACAAAGCGGAGTTCGTTGTGGAATATATTAAGGTTACTTTTAGGAACTATTGAAGTTCAAAACACGTTTGGAAAACAAATGTGCTTCAGTGTTAGTACATGTCGAATGAATTTAATTTTGTCCTTGAGAAATAATAATGCAGTCATTGTAATCGATGTATACAATCTGGTTTAATTTATGTTTATTTTCAGTAATGAGCCTTTGTAACCAACCGAATACAGTATCCTAAAAAAATAAGTTTTAATGTTTAAAGATTTGTAGAAAAAAAAAATCGAATAATGTAATTTCATTTGTCTACCGCACGGCTGCAAATGAACACCAAAATGACTTCTTGGAGGGAGGAAATTTCAGATTAGCCCATGCGTTAGGCTAAACAAACGTTGTCCAGCAACCTGATAAACAGAAACTTGATAAAATAAATACGAGTTTGAGTTCCGGAGGTAGTGGATGAATTTTTATGGTACTATTCCCTCAGAGGAGGGAGTCTGGGCCGTTAAAATACCCGTATAGCCTAAAAGACGAGTAAGGGTGAACAAAAAAAAGGGGAGAACTACGGATCCTTATAGAAAATTTTATCCTAACTTAAAAAGAAAAAAAGCTAAACGAGAAAATTTTAAAATATTTGAGTGAATGACTTTTTCTTGAATGCCCCCCATATTAGGAAGGACACAATAAGTACATAAAATCCCGAAGATGTTGTTAAACTAGATTTTTTTAAGTAATAAATAGTATTAGTTAATTTATTTTCGTATTTAAAACTTTCATAAGGGAACAACTTCAAATTTCCTCAATTTTAAAAATTCAATAATTGTCCAAAAATTATAATTCTTTTTAATTGTTTTGCCACCTAGTAAAGGTATGTGTTGGATAATTAATCTACTAGCTAAAATCAAAACTTTATTATATTTTAAAATAAAATGAAACATTTATCACAATAAAAAGTTATTTCCTTCTTATTGAACAGCACTGTAAAAAAGTTTTATTTTGTCTATTTCATAGAAATATCTGGTTTATAATGAATAATACAAATATACATTACAACATATCTTTCTAATTAATTGGTAATTTTTCAAGTAACTGTAGCGTTCCTGCTGGAATTGTTTCTGCAGACATTCATTCATAAGGGATTAGCTACAACATACATCTGAAAAAAAAATGTAATATATTATTTTTTTAGAGAATTTCTTATATTTTGAAGTTAGAGAATATTTAATTTACCAACAGTAATCGATATTTATTTTCCATTTGTGGAAAGTTCTTTTTTATTTTTTTCAGCAACCAATTTCTGGAATAATATATAAACCCTTCCATAATTTAAAGTATTTAATTAAATTTATTTTGCCAACACATAATTTTGTGGTAATTCGGAATATTCAACACTTACTGACTGAGAAGATAATAATTTTGAAATTGTTATTTGTGACAACGTTAATAGTATAATTGTATATATAATAGATATAATTATGTATATCAAGAATTATTTAATTATAAAGATTTAATAACAGTTAATTTTTTTTTTCCACAATCTTACTTATACACATGGATGTGGATAAGAAGTAAATATTAGTTAGGAAATGTCATGGATATGAAATAATAAATTAATTTTGATTTCATTTTATGGGAACAATATTTTGATTTAATAAATATTTGAATAAAACTCTTTCTGATTACTAAAATATTGTTAATTTTGAAAACTATTTTAGGAAACGCAAAACGCCCAAAAAACATCCGGTGTAGGAAATTTGTGATGTTGGCCGTAAATCAATATCTAAATTATTATAAATCTGTAGCTGCTGGAGGGTAGTTTCCTATGATTCATGTCCTGGGTTCGAGTCTAAGTGTGGCAGGTAAATATGTGTTATATAATACCAACTATCGATGGGGATACCCTTCTTGGACACCCTACTCCCTAATCCTAAGGGCTAGCACAGTTTTTATAAAGTTAACACTCTTATTTAAATACTTGATTAAGGCAACAAAAAAATCAGACGATCGGGCGTGATATCGGTGAAATCACCTTCTTGAACGATCGTTCACCAAGAAACAATACTTCTTCATTAAGCCTCAACCCATAAAATTTATCGAAAATTATATGTTATATTATTATAATGTATTTCTATATTATTGTTTTATTGTAAAAGTTCAAAACTTGACCATAGTTGTCCTCCCTAAACTTCTAACATGAAGTCTAAGTTCAAATTTTACTCTGCCAAAAAATGTATTTTCTTTCTACAGTCTTACTTAAACCAATTTATGAGTCGGCATATCATTGTAGGGCACACTCAGCAACTTCAAGGTGTTTTAAAAATCCTGGCAATTGAGCATGTCCTGAAAAATGTATAAAATCTCTTTTATACCTTTTTAACAGTTCACAACAAACGCAGACCTCAAGAAACTTAATGGGTTGGAGTATTATTGGTCATAATTTACTTCTTTTACCAAGAATACAATTAGCGGAAAATATCAAATATTCAAACAGTATATAATTCAACTCATTCAGCAACATAATTAATACACACAATACCTTGCTCATATGTTCAGAGTAGCACATGAACATGTTGTAGGCTCTTTCACATGAATCGTCAGCATACTGCTCTGATTTACCTATAAACAATAATGGCAAATGACTAGAGAAATGTCTTATATAGATATAGTTGACATGTACATAAATTAGCACACAGTTATTTTAAATGATGGTATAGTATTTTCATCTGTAATAAGCGTTTTGTACTAAAAGAAACTATAAACCTTAGTGTTACCCAAATGCTAGACCAAGACGAGTCTTGATCTTGCGCACTCAGTCATGATCTTAGTCCTGGTCTTGCGCAAGAGTCTCACAGTTACCTATTAGCCCATTAAATACTATAGAGATATTATGGAAATTTTACAGATAGGGGAAAACTAACTAGGCCCGAATGAAAAATTGAAAGAGTTAAATACAGAAGTATATTGCTAAAATCATTAAATGGAAAAATATAACAATGAAATTTTAAAAAATGTTTGTTTCTCTATTTTCAAACTCATAACATACATAACTATGTATATCTTTTCTTTTACCCTTTCATTAAAAACAAAATATTTTCAATGAACCTTTACGAAGCCTGTCTTCCTTCATATGCCATAATCCATTTTAGAGATCTTGCCTTTGAACGTTATTTTTGTATGTGCATCGGATAGATATATCATAGTATACTAATAATCTCCCTGATTTTATTAAATCATTTCTTGTGCCTTTAGTATAATTTATTTTGTATTCACTAGCGAGGACCTGAATTCTTCAAAAAGTGGCATAGGCAATATTAAAATTCTTTGGTAAATAATTAACTTACTTTGTTTTTCACAGTTTAACCAGGTATTGATCGCTTGTTCGTGTGCACTTGGTTCTGCGAAGAATCTGTGCACGACTGATCTCACTTCCTTTTCGTTGAGGCTCCCGTCTTCATTTAACTAGTGCCGATAAATCCCAAATAAATAGATGAAATATATTGAATATATTGATGAAAGTATTTAGTGAAAAATAAAATTGTAAATTTCTTACATAGTGTAAACCCATCATGCCGCACTTGACGAAGCACTGAAACAATGCATAATTTGTTCATGCTCTTTTATTGTCTTAATATTCATGAAAACATTTTAAAACTTAGAATACTTACTTTTGCGTCATTGAAAACAGGTGCGTCTCCATTCAAGATCATTGTAAAGTAATCTGTAAAAAATACAAAAGTAAATAAATTAATACGTGGGATAAAAATTAATCCAAAGCCCTATATCAAAGGTATCATAGTTAAGGTATAATTAAAGTTATCAGGGCTATTAAATTGTAAGTAGTTTCTAGGTTTATCATCAACACTTTTATTTGACGCAGCTTCTATGTCTTTGGTATGTATGATAAATTCCTAAACACATAAAAATAACATTCTAACGTCATATTTAATTAACAAAAAATCCCATTTTTAACTATTCGAACGGACTCTCCTTTTTCACAATACTTCTTACAGTAATAATTACACGTATGCAAAGATTAAAATCTTCTATACACTATTAGGTATGACTGTATTTTTATGTTTTTTTAATTTACTTACCTTTAGGCTATTTTATTCTTTTATTTTATATAGTTTTTAATTATTATTTTACTTTTGTTAATTTTATATTTTCTGTTTATATGGTGTGCATGTGTGTTCACATATCACTATAATTATTGTCCACGTGACCGATTATTATATTTCTAAATAAATAAATAAATCTATTCACTATTATTTTATATCATATTTACTCATATTAAGCCACTGTATACTTCTTTGTAAAGCAATTTATAAATCATATAAATATAAATCATCAATATGACTCCACATCTTCCACTATTACTATTACTATTAATTTATATACAACACATATTATAATATATAATAGTTAACTTATCTTTAATTATTAATAATAAAGATTTTTATGTATTCAATTAATGTGGTAAGAAGTTTTTTTTTGAAACGGACGGTCAATCATTTAGGAATTACGAAATAGAATAAAGGATGTGTTGAGCTTTTGAGTTTGTTAAGTTATCTAAAATTAAATATACATATATTTTTACAATAATTATAAAAAGTTATTATTTACTTTACTTTATTTATATATATTATTTACTTGGAGGAACTTGATATTTCTCGCTGCAGTCCATGAGTGCTTCTACGTATCTTCGGGGATGTTCATTGTCGTGGGTTTGTTCTGAAGAACTTTCACTCGATTCTGAATCTTCTGCTGTCTATAAATTACATTAATGAGCAATAAAAAAAAAGTACATTTATAAAATGTTCAAAAAAACATTTGACCACGTATTGTAATTCTAGAGATTTCTTGATTTTATCTCACTCACAAGGACTACAAAATATAGTCACAATATAGTTGAGCGAATTATTGAATTTATAATTTTAAACAAAAATTAGTCATGCGTGCAGAATTTCATGAAAGATATGAGGAAATAAAAAAAAAGTTTTTCAATGAAAACATGATACATGAAGGCAATGTAAGAAGTTAAGGGTTAGTGAAATCATTATCAATTAGGCATCAATTTGTTCAGATTCTATTTATATTTTTGCTTTTAAGCATGCGGAAACGGTTTTCATTAATACACCTTTCTTTTTTTTAAAGAATAAAATAAATAAAAATAAAATAATAAAATAAAATGATAAGTAAGCTATACTGAAGTACTAGATATTAAAAAAAAAAATAATATTAATAAAATCCATAGTAATTAATGAAACGATTTAAAACGAAACATATACTTATTACACATACAAATATAAATTTCATAAATTAATTTTCATAAACTTGAATCACAATGTGTTTGAAAATAATCTTCAGAAGTTTAATTTTAAATAACTTAATATTTATCACAATCATTTATATTTTTATTCCAGGATTCTTTGGCGCGAATTGGGGAGGAAACTACATTATTATTATAAATAATATGTGCTTCACAGTCTGAATAAAATATAAAGTTCACTTACAGCAGCAAAGGCACACAGCGTGAGAAGGATGAGGGAAAACAACATCTCGAGATTGGTGTGGTAATGTTTTGGCCTGTATTCGCATTATATTTGAAAAATACAAGGTTATGTTTGCTACGCAGAGTAATTAGTTTCCATTATGTAAAATTTCATGAGATTTCAGAGCACGTTTGGAAGCTATTCAGCCTACATACGTACGAGAACTTCCTTTGTCTCGGCTAAATCATTTGTTTCTTTAAGCTGATTTGTCTCATTCGACTTCATTAGCCTGTTTATTACATCTTATTTAAATTAGGTGAAATTCATAGTTAAAGAAGAAAAAATACTTTTATTGTAATTATATTAAACTATATTATTTTATTTCATTACAAAGCTATACACTAAATAAAAACTATAATAACTGTAATTCTTCCCCAAATGCGTTTTCTAACATTGATAGGAAAATTTTATATTAAAATCTAATAGTGAGTGATTTTCTGTAACCAAAAGTTTTTTCTCCCCAAAACATGACTTATTATTTTTTTTTAATAGTGTATACACACAAACACATGCATAAAGTTCCGTATATAGAGAATCGCAGAGAGAAATATATGTAATTAAGGAAAAGATAATTTTGAAAAAAAAGTAGCTCAACACCAGAATATTCATAATTCAATAGGTCAATGAGAGCTGATATTTTGAATCGCTTTCCATAAAAAAAAAAAAAAAAAATTTCTTAAATAAAAGTGAATATTTCTCACTTTTTTGAAATCAAAAATAAATTTTTACAAGACAAGAGCCAATTTGTATAAAATATCACTTCCCCTGAGAGACCATTATAGCAGCCATACTCAACTAGTACAAAAGAATTATTTTCAGAAATATATAGTAAAACCTACGCGATGGATAAATTAGCTGGAACCTTGGGGAAATAAAAAAAAAAATATTGCTCCTTTTTATCACTGACGTTATATCTATTTTGCTAAAGCTTGTACAATTCGAAAATATTTTGAGTTTAGGAAGACAGAGTTGCCTAAAAACTGTATTTACCTGCAACATTGCAAGTACTTATTTTAATTCTAGTTTTGAAATTAAACAACCAATATACCCAGCGATGCATTATACTACAAGCAGAATAGATACAATGCTGTAAGTTACAGAATATACCTTAAAAAAAATTAATTTCTTATTTATCATCAATGTTAATACCAACAAATAAAAGACATAGACAGAAGATATAATAAATTATTCAAAAACAGAGATTTCACGGTTGAAATAGGTTTAAGGTTTAAGTAACTGTAACATCTTATTTAACTTCCTATTTTGATAAAGCTAATATTGTGAAATATTTTTAGACCTTCCCACCCTTTCTAGAATATGTTCCAAACTTGAAGAATAATACATTCTTTTGGATAATTGCTACGTGTAATATTTATTGCTCGTGTTTTACTGTGATGAATATGTTTTAAAAAATAGTTTATTTTTTAAACCTTGGTTTTTATTAAAATTTGGTGGTACTTTTTCTTCTTTGAAGAAATGAGATATTCAAACGCATAGTGAATAATCCTTAAATACGAGATGTTGCCTATTTTCAAAAGCTCTGAGAGTGAAGAAGGAGAATGGAAGTCTGTGAGTTATTGAGAATTTCGTTGGTGACGGATCATTGGCTAGAAGAATGCGGCTGTATTTTCTTTAAATCCCATAACTTTTGGTTGTTTATCATTCTTTCAATGGTTTTACAGGGCACTGACCAAGGGGCCTTTGTTCCATTTGGGAATCGATATTACGCGAGTTGATGCCCATAATGGAAAATCGTGATTTTGCCAGGATTGGCCAACACTATCTAGGAACATAAGAAATTCTTGTGGATGTTGTCATAAGAGTCCCCACATGGGCCTAATGTTAATGTTTCAGGTTTTTAAAAATTGAGATGAAAATATTAGTATTGTTTCATCGATCACGACTACAGAGTAGATCTGAGGAAAATGTGTTTATTTAAAATATTATTTATTTTAAAAATAAAATATATTTTAATTACAAGTATTTAATAGCTTTCAGAAAATACATTTCAAATACAATATACTAAAAGGCTTTGGATTTGTGACAGGAGACAGAGCTTGAGTAAGTGGATTAGAATTTATAGTCAGTCTGTCATGTAAATTATTAAAGCGGTCAGTGGCAGTTGCCGCGATGAAAGGAGTGTTAAGGTCAGTGTGTAACGTAAGGTTTGAAACATAAAAGAGTTCGTCTACAATTTTCCGAAGGGCTTTTGACTGGAACGACTGGATGATGTTTATATTTGATTTCTTTGCTGTTCTCCATAGTTCAATTCCATATGTCCAAAGTGGTTTAATGAGGACTTTGTAAATAGTTAATTTATTTGTCACAGATAATTTAGAACATCCGTCAAGTAGCCTAGAAAGAAGTCCGTATAAGTTCTGATTAAGTTCTTTTCTTCTTTGTTTTATGTGGTACGTCCATGTCAGTCGTTTGTCCAAATGGGGACTCAAATATCGTCCAGTTTTTGAAGTTGGAACACAGGAGGACAAGAGTCATGTCTAAGTGTAAATGAAACAAATTATAATATAACTAATCTTAGACATATAACTATAATAAACTTTTAATATAACTATAATAAAACAAATTATATTATAACAAATCTTAGACCCGTTCATTTTTATTCTCCACCTTCTAGCCCACAAGCTATGTCGTCTTGGTGTTCTTGAAGTACCTGAGAAGCCTTAGCTGCATCCTTGTTAGATGTCAATATTGCCGAGTCATCAGTAAATGTAGCCAACAGTGTTTCAGAACGTTGTGGGATGTTTGAACAGAACATGTTGAAAAGTGTTGGACCCATGACACTGCCTTGAGGTACTCCAGCTTTTATTTGTTTGATGGCAGAAAGCTCAGTCCCCATTTTAGCACGGAAAAATCTATCTTTTAGATATGATAGTAAAATTAAGTAATACGTCGGGGGAATAATCGTTTTTAATTTCTGTAACAAACCATCGTGCCATATTCTATCAAAAGCCTGACTCATGTCAAGAAAAACGCCAGGACAGTACAATTTTGATTCTAGCGAGAAAGATATTGCTGAATAGTCAAATGATGCTGTTTGAACCCGTACTGGAAATTTGGAATGACATCAAATAGTCTAAGTGAATTTAAAAGCCAAAAATTATTTTTTTCGATATTATAAACAATTTTTAAATATTAGCATCAATAAAAGTAATGATTCTCTAGCGCATGAAAGTAGATATTTTCCTCTTCAAATTAATTAATGAAAATTTCATTTCTTTGACCATCCCGAATAAAATTACTTTTCTACTTCAGGTTCATCTTCTTCTCATAAATTACTATTCAAAAAATGTTGCCTTTCATTCACCCATAGATCAGATTTAGCTAATTTATTTGCAAATCCTGCATAGATTTCTTTGGCAATTCGTGGCCTTGATTTGAGAAGATTCTATCTAACAAATTTGAGTAAATTTAGTTTACTGAGTGAGAAGGATCCCACACGCGCTATTTAACCCTGCTAACGGATTGTCATTGATAGACCGTATGATATAAATATCAGTATTTTCCTCTAATACGCACTAAATTCTTAACGGAACAGATAGAATGAGTATATATTTTTTTCTAACGTTAGGATTCATATACAATTCCTAGTGCTTTACGAAAACAAAAGTTTTAATCTTTAATTTAAAATTAGAATACTGGCCTATGGGGCTCCACCAAACCTTCAAATTCCTCTCGCATCCAATCCTTACAATCCAAAATCCTTCGTAAAATCCTCAATGCTCCTTACTTTATTACAAATAAAATCATCCATAATGACCTTAATGTTAATTATATATCAGATTTGGCCCAATCCAGATATCTGTCCTTCCATAATAAACTTCATAACCATCCCAACCCTCTTATTTCTAACCTTACTTCCTATTCAATTCCTGATAATCCTCCGAGGCGTCTGAAAAGAAGATGGTCACGTGATCTCCTAATATAGAATTATTATTAGAGTGCTACCAATGGGTAGTTTCTCAACATGTGTTTCATGTCTTTATATCCATGTGCGAAATTACCAGATGTATTTTTTGTATACAGTTGTAAATATCATACAAATAAAAAAAAAAAAAAAAAAATTAGAATATGGAAGGGACGATATCGATAAACGATCAACTAGAAGTAGATACAATCGATAGTCGATAATATCGAAGTAGATACAATTAATAGTAAAATATCGAATATCGGAAGGGAAATATCAATATTTCGATAATGTTTACACAAGAACTGCGATTTGCACACAAACTATCCTGCTTGGTTTCCCCACCTTCTTCATTGATGTGGAAACCTACTTAGGGACGCTTATTGTTTTGTGGGTACTGAATTAGACTCAACCATCACGCTCGGCTATGTAACGCTAATTCGGGTAAACTCGACTCGACTAAATTTTGTATTCGGATTAAAATACCTCAAAAACTAAAAATTGGACCAGAATACTGTTAGTGAGAGAAATGTTTACATTTACATAATGAGCTATTATTCTAAATTGTTTATTCACGCTATCCCACGTTACAGAGGCAAAACGAGAAAATGTTAGTGTCAAAAACCAAAAAATAACAACTGTTTCGAATGGTTGGACAAAAATATCTCATTGCCAATGATTTTGAGTGGATATTTCAACCTTGATTTCTCAAAAGACACATCGAAGCTTTCAGTTAGATTTGGATATTTCGAATGATCCAAATGAAATTATAAAAGTATATGGAAAAACGATTGACGGTGTTTTTGTAAGATCTTTAGCAAATAGATTTCAATCAAAAGTATTTATCGCTTATTTTGGTTATAAATAATAGTCATAACCATATTTTTTTAATTTTAGATTATGATACCAATGACGATCATTTAGAGCAAAGTATACTACAGTAATTTATAGCCAATTAAAGTTTCAGGTATTTTAAATGTCATTACTTTGTTAATGCGGAACAAAAAATAGATCATACACAATTAATTATAAGTGAATATACTGTAAATGGTTATAATAGTTTTGTAATTTAATTATTTCATTTAATTATTTTCTGCAGGAATGATGAATGGTGATCTAATGTATTTATTACCTGGCCTGGAGACTTGTTTTGATAACAACAACAAAAAAAAGGCAACAAAATAGTTTTATGAATATTGCAAATTACTTATGAACATCTAATTTAAACAATAAACCAAATTTTAAAAAATAAAACCATGAGCAGCACAGCTCTGTAACACAAACTCAGCTTCCCTTCATTTTTGTTTAGAAAACAAAGAAAAAATTATTTAGGTTGTTTTTATTGATGGTTTTCTGAAGAACATTAGATAGGATTTTAACAGCTGACTTTATTCCTCATACAAATATTTTAAACAATTTGTAATTTATTTCTGAATACAATTTTTCATAATAATAAAAATATGATATTCCTAAAAGACTTGTCTTTAACTTCAACAGCATCCAAAAAGATTGTCAATTCTCAATTAGGATGGATAGTAAAGGTTTAAAAATCCTTATAATTGAGAGAAAATAGCACAAAAAACTCTTTGGTAATGTTATTTTTATTGATTCATACAACCACTTAAATGTTATTGTTTTACTTGCAATTTCTGTAAATCCTATTTCAACACATTTGATCTGAAGTGTGGCGCTTGATGGAATATAAATAAAGAAGTCAGATACCTTTAAAACTGTCGTACTGGGGGTTAAAATAAGGTTTATTATACTCCTTCCGATGATTTAAATACTATTATTTCTAAAAAACGTCTGCCAAGTAAAGTCAGTATAGCTTCCTCACCGTTTCATCTGCTAAAATATATCTTTATTACAAGGTATACAATTTTTCGTATGAGAATAAAATCTATGGGAGAAGCTGATTCGGAAATACAGTTACCCTTTAACATTATTTTGTTTGATATCCACGAATTTCGTTTATCAGCTAATATTAAAATGCGAAAGAGTGCCATATCTAAAGATTCCATATTGAATATCTTAAAAAAAAAAAAAAAAATACCAATGCATACTGAACATACATTTCACTACTGATAGTGCAAAGGGTCGTATGTAAAAACTCATTATTTCTTTATGCTTTATTGGTATAATTTCATATTTTATTGTCCTATGCTATTTTCCATTGTAGCAGACTGCTTATATCAGTTACAGGCTACAAAATGTCACCTTTGGCACAAATAGAATAAAAGTTGAAAATTTTTACATACGCCCTTTTGCACTAATAGTAGTGATATATACTTAATGGATTTAGAAAATCCATAGGAAAAATTCAACTTGTTTGTTCAAAGTTATTGAGACAAATACGTTTCTTCAGTGAGAACAAAACTAATTAGGCTTGAATATAAAAATATGGGAGTTCACACAACTTCGATATTTAAGGAGAAAATCGAGACCAAGACAAACTGATTGAACTTCAATGGAAATAAAAACAATCGCAAAAAAGACTTTTTTTTTTTACAAATTCAGAGTAAAAATTACTTTGAATTTACTGAAAATGACACGAAAGCTAAGAATGGCAGTAAGTGTTTGGAAGTGGCACTAATGTTTGGAATCGACCAACAATACAATATCAATTAATTGTTTTAATAAAACCTAAGATTTTATAACCCCACAACAATATTGTAATTTCCTAACTCTCACGCCATATGATCAGTGCCTTCAACATTTCACAGCCTTTATATTGTTAACAATTACTTATATTAATTTTAATTATTAAATTTAATTTAATGAAATTGATACTAAGTAATTTCTATACTGTTCTCCAAAT